ACCTTATTTGCTTGTAAGAGTTGACCCTGGATTGGTCTTGGCCTTCCAGCCTGGGTAGTCCTTCCAGTGAAGTTTGACTTCCCTGGTCATCAGGCACAATCTCCATCCGCTGTCAACTCTGGGTAACAACCTTTAAGAACCAAACTAATGACTGGGTTGTTTGTGCCTAATATGCCAAGGTACTCCTTATATGTACCCGAAACTCCTTAGACCAAAAAGCCTGGTGTCTCTAGCTTTCCTTGAGGAAAGCTGTATTGTCCAGATGGTACATGGGCCAGTTTCTACCAGTAGAGTCTTCAAATACTCTCTATCTCTGTCTCTGTCTCCAAAGCTTTGTTCATTGTATCTGGTAGAATTTTGGTCCCAAGGAGTAGGCACTTGCCTTGCTTCTAATAGGAAGTATCTATTACAGTCCAGTGGTATCTCTCCCAGGTTTGAACTCATTTTGATCCCTACCTAATGCCTTCCTATTTAATTGTATTGTGATTGAATATTTTTGTTTCCACAGCTTTTAATTTCTATGTCCTTGTTCCTTAGTTATTATTTCTAAGATCATAAAGTTTTTGAACCAAAGTTGACACTTCTTATATATGTTTTCACAAATATAATAAAAACTGAAGTGTCAGATGAGGGAACTTCTAGGAAAATGCTCTTATTTTCTGCTTTTAGAAATCAAAAGCATGTCTAATTATTGGGTGCTACCATTGTATAAAGGAAGTTTTAGAACAAAAAAACTTCTGAATTGATCCTTGTTAACTTTATTTCAGAAAGTGGTAAAACAGGTGTGGCATATAGACCCTGTGAAGAGGTCACAGATGCTGGAACCGAAGAGGAACTACAGGATTTATTTCACGTATGTGGAGATAAAAGCTCAAGGGGTACACAGCCAGTGGAGCCATAATTCAAAACAACCAGCAGGATTTGGAAGACTTCAGCATATCTATTCAGTTCTGTCTTCCTTAGGGAAAGGTGAAACTCTGAAACTGCTTTTGAGGCAGGGAATTTCTAGGACTTTTCCAAGTCCAGCGCCTTGTCTCTGGCCTCTTACTTGAAGTTTGGAGAGCAGGATTGAGGGCCACCAGTGTACGTCTATGGTTGTGGACACAGGAGAAGACACAGGACGTTTAGAAATCCCCTCAAATAGAATTGCAGGGATTTGGAAACAAAGTAACTATGGTCTTAAGTGTGATTATGCTACACTATTTAAAAACTATTCATGCCTTTCAAGTAAGGTATATTACCCAGATCTCAGCATCTCATATATATCTTGTGTTAAATATTTTGCCAAAGAACCTTTCTGTAAACCAGTTATATGGATATCTCGAATTAGGGCTTAAGTTGTCAACGTAATTTCTGAAAGAAACCATTAACGTACTGCATATAGGATTTTTATTTAAAAGGAGCAAAATATGTGTTTCATGTCATTGAGAGCTAATTTTTGGTTAGATTTCTGATTACTTAACTCACCCCAATGTTTGTTTGGAAGGGAAGACAGTAGAGAAAGAAAAGGTGGTTATGTTTTGAAAAATGGAAAAATTTTGAAAGTTTTTTCCTGTACAAAATAAGTATTTTAATTCAATTTAAATCAGTCAAGGAAACTTGAAATGTATCCATGTTTGGGCTTTAAGAAGTCTAGTTTCCTATGAAATGTGAGAGGAAAGGGTTCCGTATTGATACTAAAGATTTTGGAAACCTGATTATAACAACAGATCCACTCCTAAATGAGGCCAATCTTGGAATCAGTTCCATTTAGAAACCATTATGTGATAGGCACTGGAAATAAGGTGAAGCTCCTTCTCTCTTGGAGTTTAGGTGTTAAAGGTGTACCAGACAATTAAAAAGGAGTAAAATTAAATAGATTATGAAAAGGACTGTGAAGAAATTAAACTGTGTGGTAGTTCCAGTATTTCAAGAAAATTACTTAACATGCTGACTTTAACATTCTAAGTGTCTTCTCCATGTGTGCACACAGGGTAGACCTCTGAAAAGTGACACTGTGGTTTTTTCTAGATTAATGGCGCTGTTGAGACAAGGTGGGATGGGGGAAGTTTTCCCATGCTAATGTAAAGGGCCATTCACGTGATTTTAGACTCTCTTTCCCAGAATGAATTGCTCACCTGCCCCAAAGCCCTTCTACAGAAGTTCTGGAGTCATCCCTGATTCAGTAGTGACCCCTAAAAACAGAGTGGGGAATGAATAATGAGACGTGAATACTGAGAGTTTGCAGGAAATGGCAACAATTTCAAATAATTATAAGGTGTGTTCCCCTCCCACCACCCTTACTGGTTCTCATTTTGCAGGTCAGCTACTTTTCTTGTCAGCCCTGTGGCCAAAGGGAGCAAGAATGTGTCTCAGACTTCAGCTTGAGGAGGAAGAGTTCAGATTGCCAGAACTGGACTAGCACTTTTGAATTTCCCAGAATGCCAGGTCCTGTGGTTTCCTCGGGAAGGTCTGAATCCTTCCCACCCCCGCTGCACCCCTGGGATGCTGGAGTTTGGGGCCACTCGGTTCTGCAGCCCAAATCTTGCCTCATTGTTTGGGGCCAGGGAGTGCAGGGCGGGGCTGGGAAGAGGGCCCGGCAGGAGGTAATTGTCGCCTTTGCAAGGGGAAGGATGGCTTGCGCCCTGGGGAATCTGGGAAAAAGTTCCACTGTGGTGGCGTGGATTGGATCTCCGCACGAGCCTAATAACGGTGGCATAACTAAAGACGTCATAAATAACGGGTGGGACGTTAGGCGGGGGCGGGGCGCGCGGTTGCTAACGTGAGTTGTCACGTAGGCGCTGGCATAGCGGTTCAGCTCGGACGCAGGATGTGGCTCCAGCTCCTCACTGGCCTGGATCACTGCCCCTGGAGCCGCCGCATGTTATGTCCGGGCTGTGCCATTGGTTGCCACGGCTCTTCCTCACATGGCAAGGACGGTGGCTTCTAGTCCAGGCAGTTCAGCCTCCGGAGTGGGCCCTGGGCCCCGTGCAGGTGACCCCCAACCCCCCACGGCTGACAGAGGCTTGGTCTTCACAAGCCTCAGAACCCGTCCCAAATTGTCCCATGCTCTTACACCCCTGGCAGAAGCCATGGGCTTTAACTACTTATCGTCGATGTCTCCAGTGCAGATGTTGGCCCCGCCTCATCAGGAGTTGACTGAGACTGAGGTTCCATACCCGGACACGGATTCGGTTGGAGAGCTGCCTACAGGGCCAGATCAGTTTGCTGTTCCACATCAGGATCTGAATAACAAGCAAACCCAACATCAAAAGCTCCCAGAGGCAGTTCCAGTGCTCGACTGGGATCAGAATCAGTCCTTGGTTCTCCCTTCTCGACACAAAAGTAAGACTAAACACATAGCTATAGATGAGGCTGATGGTCACCAATCATTTGAAATACTTCTTCCACCTCTATGTAGTAAGAGCTCAAAACCAATGAAGTTTATTGGTTCACCCACAAACCTGAAGAAAGATCTAGTTCAGCATCAACAGCTTGCCAAAGTTGTTGTTGGAACTACAGGCCAATTTCAAAAAAAACACTCAGGGTCTAGAACAACAGTTTCAGGATGATTATTTAGATCCCAGTGTGGATGCCATTTAACCTGAGGAGAGCCTACCTAGGGATTTTTTCGGGAGCCCAGATAAAACTATGGAGCCCCCAGAGGAAGCTGAAATTTC